AAATATTTTGACCCCTAAAACTTCTCAAACCCTCAAAACTAAACTCTAATACACCATAGTTAACTCAAACATAAATGATATAATGAAAAAATACTTATAAAAAAGTGACATTTTGCAAATTTTTTGAAAATGTGGCATTTTTGAAAATTGGCACTTGAAAAGTGATATTTCTTAAAATTTCTCAAGAAAAAACCGTCATACTAAATTAAGTAATATTTTTAAAATTTTATATTACAAAATACATTTCCGTTTCAAATTATTTAAATAGTTAAAAATCAAAAGCAGATGTCATATTATAAGTGTCATTTTACTAATATAGTAACGTGTATGAGACAATTTTAGTGTTGACAAAAAAATGAGACAATTTTAGTATGAGATAAATATAATAAATTGACGATGTAATAAAATATTAAAATATATAATAATAAAATAAATATTAAATATTTGTGTGAGTCGTAATTTAGAATCAATTATATTTGTCAAAGTACAGGTGATACAAATTTTAAAATCAAAAGTATTTATTGTAATGCATTTTTATATAAGCTTGACACGTAAGGTAAAATTATAATTCACGAGATCCCGACATGTATCTAATATTGGTCAAATGATGAATGTGTTAAAACTTAAAATTTATTAAGAAAACTAAGATTTAAAATGGAAATTAGTTGTCAAGTTACTAATCCAATAAAAAAAAGTAAAATTTCTAATACTATCCATACTAATTAAGACAACAAAATTTAAAATAAAATATATACGTTACATAAAGCATAAATGAACAAATAATACATACATAATAAAAAATATCAATTAAAATAATTATAAAAAGAATGATAAAAGGTATATAAATTGGAAAATCAAAAGTTAGAAAGTTAATAGAAACCTCAATTGAAAATTTTAAAGATATATACAAACCATGCAAAAAAATAATAATAAAAAGAATCTATAAAAATACTTATTTTATCAATATAGGATTATAGAATATCACAACAAAATGGAATTTTATATGAGCATGTACTCTGTTTTTATGAGGTAACTAACATAAATTTTACTTTTTGTTTTTATTTCTATCACAAAATTCATAGATATTCATAATGAGTTACAATATTTGTTTTTGTGTTATTAGAATATGATTTAAAATTCATTATATATATTTTTGGATTTGCATGATATGGATTAAAACATGAGAATTATGATATAAACTGAATTCTACTGGTGTTAGGATCTACGTTAAATAATATT